TTAAAAAATTGTATTCTTAAATGTATTTTTAAAAATAATTGTATTTTTAAATGTATTTTTAAAAATTAATTGTATTTTTAAATGTATTTTTAAAAAAATAATATTTGTATTTTTTAAAAACAATTGAATTTAAAAAAAATTACTGTATTTTTTAATAATGTTTTGTTAAAAAGTTATTTTTTATTAAAAAAATCGAAAAATAATTGTGTGTTAAAAAATAATTGTATTTTTATAAATAATTGTAATTTTTAATAATAAAATCATTGCTGTTTAATTATTTTGATTAAAATTTTGTATGTTTAAAAATAATTGTGTTTTTTAAAAAGAATACATAATTGTATTTTGTAAAACAATAATTGCATTTTAATTGTATTTTTGATTAAAAAATAATTATATTATTTTTAAAATACATGTATTTTGCAAAATAAAAATTGTATTTTTTTAAAGAAGAAAAATTGTATTTTCAAAAATGTATTTTTTAAAAAGATTTAAAAAAAGTATTTTTTAAAACAATAATTGTATTTTTTAAATAAATAAATGCATTTTTTAAATGAAGTGATTTTATTTATTAAAATAATTGTGTTTTTTACAATTAAAATAATTGTAATTTGTTAAAATAAGTGTAGTTTATGGATTAGTAATTTTTTAAATAAAACAATACAGTTAAATAATAAGAAAAAAGGTTATTTTTGAAAAAAAATTGTAGTAGAATTAAAAAATTTAATTTATGTTCATTTTGGATGTTTTTAAATTTAGCAGTCTTCATCATCATCAATCTCGCTGTTTGATGCTTTTCAGGAGGCTGGCCGTCGGGAAAGGGCCCAGAGAAGGAGCCGGGAGGTCTCTCCGCGGCTCAGAGGGAGGATAGGCAGGACCACTCCTCTTGGCACTTTGCTTGGCCCGGACGATGGTAAGGGAGTATATTTGTTTTGAAAACAGGGGAGGGCAGGGCTGTGCGCCAAAATTTTTGTTTTTGAATTCTTAAAACCCTCCAAACGCCAAAATCTTCCAAAAATTCTAACGCTAAAAGCCATGGCGCACAGCCCTGACGAGGGAGGGAGGGAATGGGGGGGGGGTTACTGATCGTATTAAGTTAAGTTTTTTAAGTTCGTTTGGATGAGGAAGAGAGGCCAGAAGAGGACGATGTTATTCTGGTTGAAGAGGTGGCCGGGACAGTTTTTGAACCGCTTCCATTTCAATCAGGAGCTGGTCTGAGCGAGGAAGAAATTGGAAAATTTGTCGCTTCTGCTGGCACCTTGGCGCCAGGTTTTATAGAGAATTCAGAGGTTGGTTCGTGTGCTCTTTGTTTAGAAACATTTGAAGTTGATACATTTGTTGTGATCCCAGTTTGTCTCCATAAAGTATGCTGGGATTGTTTTGAGAAGCTGTCACGGACCTACCGTGACTGTCCTACTTGTCGCCGTGATTTAATTCACGGCACAATAAGGCAGACGCGGTAGATGCCCCAGGGATCCCCCCCCCCCCCTAAAATATTTTTTTTTATTTTAAATTCTTATTAAATTGTGGGGTCTCTGGGGGAGGGATGGAAGATTTGTTGTAGGGAAGAGGGTCTTTTATTTGTAATTGGAGGGTGTCAATTAAAAAATTTTATTATTACAATTTAGATTTAAAACATTACGTTTAAAAAAAAATCTATTTTTTAAAATGACATCCTCCAAAAAATCTTGTTGCCTTAAATCTTGTTGCCTTAAAATATTTTTTTTGCCTTAAATATTTTTTTGCCTTATATTTTTTAATATTTATTTGGCGAATAAATTATTAAAAAAAATTTTTTTTATTTCGTTAGTCAATAAACTTATAAAAATATTTAAATGGAAAATTTTTAATTCTATAAAAGTCTTTAGGGTTTTTTTCACTTATGCTTTGTAAGAATACTTCTGCTTGTTATATAAATAATACAAGCTCGTTACTAATAAATATATTTTCAGTTAATTAATCACCCCCAACAACAACATACACCAATGAATAATTCTCTTTTTAATATTGAATCTGTTCAACAAATTAATTCACGTTCGCGAAACACGCGTGGTGAAATTTGTAACGTGAGGTTCAGTCCTTTTGAAGAGCAAAGCCGACCTGACTTAACTTTAACAACACTTATTGCTAGCCTTCTGGACAGGGTAATGGCGAATCGCCCTGAGCCGCGTCTTGTTGGCCTTCAACTCCATCCTCCTGCGTTCCACAACCCATTTACAGTTCCTCTTCGGCCTCCCGCCCAAAATAATGCCGCGGCCTTGGCGGCAGCTATTGAGAGGCTGAATGAGATGAGCCAGGCAGGCATTGATCTCCTACAGGGGACGACTATTACAAAAGTAATTGCTGTATGGCCGCTTGATTCCCATCGCACAGCAAATCCCGAGGATAATTCTGGTGAGTAACAGTCTTGTTTTTTACATTTTTTAAAAAAATATGTAAGGCAAATCTGTTATTCAAGGTGCTTGTATCATTGATCAGGAACATGCTATAGCCCATCCCTGTCGATCAATTATCAAGATTATTAATCCAAATGACCGTTATTGCCTTGCTCGAGCAGTGTATATTGGCCTTAAAAAAGTTAATCTGATTGATCTGAATATAAGAAGACTTACACCTGAACAACAAAAACAGCAATTTCGAGCTTTTTGCCGCCAACAGGAGCATCATTTAAATCCTATAATTGAATTAATGCAAAATTCTGGCCTCCCTCTTGATTTAGAGGAGTATTCTCTAAATCATGTTGCAATGTTACAACGTTATGTCAATGAAAATGCTGGTGTGGAGGACCAAATAAGAATTGTTGTTTTTAAAAAAGAACAGCAATACCAAATTGTTTTTAAAGGTACTAGTGAATAGTTATTTTTTATTTATTCCTTATTATTTAGGTGAACCCCGTGCTGCTAGGTTTAACATTTGTCTTTTGCTGGAAAAAGGACATTATAGCTATTTGGCAAGGCCTGAACAGCTTTTCCGAGCCCATCGTTTCTGCATTGATTGTGAAAAAGGCGTTACAAGGACCCGGCATTGGGCTGGTTGTACAGTAGTTTGCCGACTTTGTATGCGTTATGGAGCAAATTTTCCGTGTCAATTTATTGAAAGAATTCCATGCAATGAGTGCGGCTTTGTTTTTCCGCAGCGCGCATGTTACGAACATCATTTAAATAATCAAGTCCCTGCAGAAATGGCTGGTCCAAGAACAACTAATTTTGCTTCAATTTGTCAATCTCGACGAATTTGTTTCCAGTGTAATCGCATTATTTTTGGGCGCCAGGAACAACAACTTCATGACTGTATTGCAGAGCAACAGCAACAACAGCAGCAGCACCAACAACAGTTAAATGGGGAATTAACTAATTGTGCTAAATGTAATGGCCCCCATCTACCTGAAAATCCATGTTTTATTCAGCCGCTCAAATCTGCTGAAAATACTATTACTTCTGAAGAAGTAAATTGTAGTGGATCTTCTATTGGTATTTTTTTTCAGTTTTTAATAAAAATAAATTGTAATTTTCTGAATAGATAATGAACAAAATCCGCCACAACAACAACAAAGACGTAGGAAGAAAAGATTACCTGTGAGATTTTGCTTTTTCGACGCAGAGACATCCCAAGAACATCCCATGGCTGTTGGAGCAAATAATTTTGGATATAAACATGTCCCGCTGCTGATAATTGCTGAAATCATTTGCGAAAAATGTATTGCTGCTGGGATAGGAATTGGCGATATTGGTCAACATGCAAATGGATGTTTCTGTGGTAAACCAAGAGGTGAAAGATGGCAAAGATGGTGCTCTACACCGTTTAAAAATGGCCCTGGCGACAACACCCCATTGCCTGAGACTCTTGGCTATAATCCTCGTCGCATGTATTTCCATAGCTTTGATAACGAGGAAGAAAATCCCGTGGATCAATTTTTGGACTATCTTCTATCTGTAAGTTTTTAAAATAATTATTTTTATTAAAATTTTTTTTATTTAGTACGGGTCTCAACAAATTCTAACAGTTTGCATAGCCCACAATGGAGGCAAATACGACTTCCATTTAATTCTTGAGGCCCTCCACAGGCGAAATATCCCTCCAACAAGTCTTTGTACAACAGGGCTAAAGATCTACTCTATGAGAATTGGAGGAAACAACCAAAGAAAAATACTTTTCAAGGATTCTCTCAACTTCTTCATTTGTGAACTAGATGCTCTTACAAAAGTTTTTTCTTTGCCGGAGGAAGTTGCCATATCAAAACCATTCTTCCCATATCTCTACATTATGCGACAACATTTGCATTTGAGAATTCAAGGGTTACCTGCACTTGACTACTATCAACCAGATTTTAAAAAACCTGAAAAAAGAGCCAAGTTGCTTGAATGGCACCAAGAACAAATGAATACACCAACAACAAATTTTCAACTACGAGAACAACTTCTACTCTATTGCGCAAACGACGTTGCCATTCTTCGTGAAAGTGTTCTACGATTTCGGCGACTCATTGGCGAAAACACAGCAGGCCTTGATCCATTCTTGACTGCTTCCACAGGAGCAGGCCTCGCTCTGTCTACAATGCGCCGTTGCTTTCTTCCTGAAAATTGGCTTGTACACTCTCCAGAAGGAGGATTTCTACGAGGAAGAAGAGCCTCAGCAGAGTCGCAGCGCTATATTAAATTATTTGAAGTTGAAAATAAAGAAGCTGAAGGAAAAGTTCAGTGCGCCCAATGGGCTATTGGGGAAGCTAATGTTGAAGATTCTGGCTACCGATTGGATGGTCTTTGGTATAGATCCCCGCCTCTCAAACCACTAGCCATCGAATACAACGGGTGCTACTACCATGGTAATATCTAAATAAAAATGTTTTTATCGAATCTTTCGTAGGTTGTCCAAAATGTTTCCCAATTCGCGACCAGCGTCTTGCTGGAGGGCGTACTGCTGAAGAACTTTATGAGCGCACACAATCGCGCCTTTATGAACTTGAACAACACGGTTATGCTTTGCATGTCATCTGGGGACATGATATGAAAGAAAGGCTACGCTCTAATCAACAACTAAGGCGAATATGGAATGAAATTGATGTTGTATGGCCTATGGACCCTAGGAAGGACTGTCTCAGAGGAGGAAGGACCGAACCTTTCAAACTTCATCACATTTGTACATCTGATGAAGAAATTATTTACATTGATATAGTATTTTATTGATATTAATTTTTTAAAAAAATTTTATTTTTCAAGGTCAGCCTATATCCATATGTGATGAAGGCGATGGAATTCCCAGTTGGATATCCTATTGTCCTGACAAGAGAAACACTTACACAACCGCCTAATGCGCCGCTACCATGGACTCACCCCCAACATAACATCTATAAGGGGCTGTTATTAGTACGCGTGCTTCCACCAACATCAATGAATGGACTTCCTCCCCTACTTGGTTATAGAACACATGATGGGCGTCTAACTTTTCCTCTTTGCTCTTTATGTGCAGACAACAAACAACAGAATGAATGCCATCATTCAATGGGGAAAAGATCCTGGATAAGTGGGTATACACATGTGGAGCTCAATAAAGCGCTAGAACTTGGTTATAAAATTTTGGATGTTTACGAGGTTCTACTATAAGTTTAATTTGTAACTTGTTAATATTAGGTATGGCATTATGATCGATGGGACCCGCAGCTCTTTAAAGGATATGTCAATACTTTTGTGGGACTTAAACAACAGGCGAGTGGTTGGCCCCAAAATTGCGATTCCCAAGAGGCACGTGAACATTACATTGCTGAATTTGAGCGCATTGAGGGAATTAGAATGGATCCAGAAAAGGTCGAAGTCAATCCTGGGCTACGAATGATTGCGGTGTGTTCTTTATAAAAAATTTAAATGAAAAATTTATTTCGTAAACATAAAAAAAATTTTTGCTTTTTTTAAATAAAATTTTAATCTAAAAAAATTAAAAAATTTGTTTTAATTGTTAATTTTTTCAACTTTTAGAAAATTTTGGCAAATTCCTTGTGGGGAAAAATGGCTCAGCGTGTTGGAGGTATTGAAGTCAAGTATGCAAAAACACCTGAAGAATTTCACCAGCTGTTAGAGGACCCAACTCTTGAGACTCTAGATTTTGAACATGTGAGCGAATTTATGGATCGGTGTGTTGTCCGAAAGAAAGAATTCGCAGAGCCTCCAGACACAAATTGCCTTCACGTAGCAGCTTTTGTAACATCATATGCTCGGCTTCATTTATATAAATATATGGAGGAAGTTAGACGTATTAATGGCCAGCTACTTTACTGTGACACAGATTCAATCTTCTATGTCACAAAACGTGGGGGAAATTATGTGGACGAGGGTGAGGCTCTGGGTCAAATGAAACGTGAACATCCTACTAGGCGCATACTAGAATTTATTGCTGGAGGGCCTAAAAACTATGGTTACCGCCACGTTGACAAGGGAACTGGCTTCGATGAAAGAGCTGAACTAAAAATAAGATCTTTCCCCCTTTCTTATGCGACACACCAATTGCTTAATTTTGAAACAATGAGACAACTTGTTATTAGTCAATTTAACATTGACGGAGAAATGTAAGTCATAAAAAAAATTTTTTTAATAGAAAAATAAACTTAAGGGACGAAATGTTTTCCGAAAATTTTATGTTTGAACCTGCCAACATGATTAGGGTTGAATTTCCCCAAATTGGCCGGACCCAGCGTTCTGATTTATATACAATGATGACTAGAAGAGACTATAGAGCATGTTTTGAAAAAGGAAGGATACGCCCAAATATGGAAACACTTCCCTTTGGGCATGTAAATTATAATGAACAACAACGACATGAGGTCTTTTTCTAATTAATTTAAAAAAATATTTTAAAAATAAAATTTTTTTAAAGTTTGTTCCAAATACATTCTCTGATCAAATTGAATACCAAAATATTGTTCCAAGAAATCACCATCTAAATTTACAAGATATTCCTGGCTCTTCAAATTGGACTGATGTAGATTATTTGCACAGATATAGATAACATTTATTTATTTTTTAACAATATTTTCATTTATGATTTTTTTATAATAATAATAAATTTTTCGTTACAATCTTGGAAATTTTAAAAGTAGAGGTAAAATAATATTGTCAAATAAATATTTAATTTGTTCAATATAAACTAATCCTGTTAATATAACACGTCCAGAAATATAGATAAGGCATGAAGCTTCTCTAAGTTCATCTTTAATTTTTAATCGAAGGGCCGGAAATATTGTTGGATCATATGAAGCCTTAACAATTTTTTCAAATAATTTTTCTCGTTGCTGTTTTTCTTGGGACTGTTGTCTAATCTTCCTATAGATTAATTCAATGGCAACTGGATTCATATTTCGATATGAGCCAACTATATTTGTAACTTTGAGGTTTGTAATTCGTAATTCACATAATGCTGTTATATTTGCTGCTCTAGTAGAAGCATTCATTCTTTTAACCACTATAGAAGCCATTTTTCTAGCCATCTTAACGTTAGGCACCCCTGTTAATACCACTTTACTCGACTGAAAAATTAATGCAGCGGTTGTTCTATTATGGTCATGACGAATTCGCATTATTATTGAGTGGAATCGTTTAGGATTATATTCAGTATTTATTCCATTTCTAGCTATTTTTTGAAAATTTTCTGATGAAAATCTTTGAATACCAGGCAAAAGTTTAAAAACACATGTACAGTTTTCAATATTCATATTTACTTTCTAAAATAATAAATGAAATAAGAAATACAATAAAAACAATTCAATACTTTAAAATAAAATTTGTATAAAAATAGGAATATTAATATTTAGCATTTTTTCATTTGTTTACTCTTCATAGAAACACTAATAACTTCAAGCGGGTAGTAAGAGCGATGGTGTCCTCCTCCAAATTCAATTATGCATGGCAAGTATGGGTGACGTAATTTGAAGCCGTGCTTTACGTAATAGTACCCTCGTACCTTAATTGAAAATTTTATTTTTTCTTTTAATTTTTAAAATCTTACCGTTATACCCAAATATCCTCTCATAGCAGGAACAATACTTGCTGGCTGAACAGTGAAATCATTGCAACGAATTATAAAATTTTTAGAAGGATGTAAGTGGGTTGTACGAAGTTGAACTTGATTTTGTAAATGTAGAATTATTTCTCGCCGTTTTTCGATGTTATAAAAGAGTACATGAAGCTCTTTAAATGCACAGTTGTGCAACTGACATAGATAATCAATTAATGGCACGGATCGACGTTTAAAAATTGACAATGGTAAGGGGTCTTCTATTGCCTCAGATTTTGGCTCAATAAAAGGATTTTCAGGCTCCTTGACGTCCTTTTCCTCTTCTTCCTTTTTTTCAGTCAAATTTTTCGGATCAATAGTTTCTTTGTCATCATCATCTTCATCGCTCTCAAGGACTATTTCGAGTATTTTGTCTCCATTATCTTTCAAAACATCCTCCTTATTTTTATCTTCAACAATTTCATTTACCAGAGAACTTAATCCAAGTGAGGTGACCAAAAGATCGATTTCATCCTTAATAAAAATTTTATTAAAAAAATATATGTATAATAAATTACTTTTTCTATTTTTTCATTTTTTGAATTGATTTCATGCAATTCCTTTTCTTGTTGCCGTTTTTCACGTTGTTGTCGTTCTTCCTCCTCACGTTGTTCGCGTTCTTGCTTCTCTTCTTGGGTTTCGATTACACCCCAAAGACCGAATGCATTGAAGGAATTAAAATTCATTTTTGTTAGAAAAATAAAGTACGAAGAAAAAATATGTTATATATATATATATGTATATATATAATGCTGAAAATAATAATTTAAGTTTTTCATTTCGAAATAAAATGGAAGGATTTGAAAAAATCGATTATTTACATACACAATTCAAGCACCCATTTACAATGATAGTTTCAGGAAGTACTGGCTCTGGGAAATCAGAATGGGTTAAAAAATTTTTAGAAAATTTAACAGAGATGATTCATTCTGATAATAAAATCTCTCTTGTATTTTATTGTTATGGAGAATTAAATAAAAATATTTTACTTATGCAAAGAAAAGGATTTGTTGATAAAGGAAAAACAAGTGTCATTGTTCATAATGGAATACCAACTGGGGGAGAGGACTTTATTCATAAGCAAGCAATTCAATCAAAGGGGTCTATGTTATTGGTATTAGATGATTTAATGGTGGGTATAGATCAACGCCTTATTGAAACAATATTTACAAGGGGGTCCCATAATTGGAAAATCAGTGTAATTCTTATTAGTCAACACTTATTTAATAAAGAGCTTAAAATACCTCGTAATAATTCTCACTATTTATTATTAATGAGAAACCCCGCAGGAGCTTTACAAATTAGAACCCTTGCCATGCAGCTTTTTCCTTCTCGCTCAAAATATTTTTTAGAAGCTTATTGGGATGCAACAAAAGATAATTTTGGTTATTTATTGGTTGATATTCATCCAAGCACTCCTGAAGTTCTAAGACTGAGAACACATATATACCCAAAAGAGAATGCAATTATTTATCTTCCAAAATGAAAAATAATAATTTTACAACTAGTTTTTTAATAGAAAAAAACGCAGGCTTTCTAAATAATTTATTATCTTGCTCAAAATCGAAAATGGCAGTTAATAAAATTATTTCTAATGCTTCTGATGAACAATTATTATGTCTTGTTGAAATTTGCTTGAATTTGTTAAAAGGGAGATTACCATTTCATAAAAATAGAATACAGAATCTACAAAATCAAGCATCGTTATTACGTAAAATTAGTCGATCGAGAAGCGCTTCTTCGGCCAAGCGCCTGCTACTAAGTGATAAAATTCAAAATGGACGTGGTTTCCCACCCGTCGCGGGTCTTCTTGCTAGTATTATTGTTCCCTTGATTGCAGAGAATTTTATTAAATAAAAATATAAATAGCATGATTTTCTAAATTTATTTAATATAAAAAAAATGCGCCATGCATCTCGAATGCTTTTAATTCCTGAGGATTTTTTCAAAAGTTTAATTGATTCAGCGAGACCAGAGGAAAAAATTACTAATAATAACAGCGATGGAACATCAATAGGGTTAATTAGAGAACGCCTACAAAACACTAGAGACAATCCTACATTAGATTCTGACACAAAAGCCATAAATTATGAGCAAGATTTTAAAAGATATAATAAACTTGTTAGAGACAAAGAAGAAAAACCTATTGATGTTAAGATTAAAAATATTACAGAAATTTCTGACAATATATTAAATAATAATGATGAAAAAAATTTAGAACCTTTGAAAAATATTGTCGATAAAAGAATAAGGAAAAAGGTTCCAATTAAAAAATTTAATAGAAACC